GTAAAAAGGCACACTGTAAATAGCATCTTGCATAGATTTGTGTCAGAGAGGATACCATGTATGTGCATATTAATTTCAATTTGAAAAATGTCTTGGATTTAAGTGAAATAAAAAAAAAAAATTGACTTTTTATATAACAGGAATAATTTTGGCATGTCCTGGCTGTATCTGGTGTCATATCAGGAGATAAAAAAAGCTTACATAATGCTCTGAAAGGACAGAAATATTAATATTGTGATATTCTATACTTAGCTCTTGAGCACTTTACTATTAGTCTGAGATGGTTAACTTAAATAGCTCTGAATAAGAGAGCTCAAAGAACAAATAAATATACAGGAGATCTGTGAAATGTGTGCTCTGTCAGAGCCTTTTTGGCAGGAGTGGAAGTCAGAAAGATATTACAACCCTTTTTTATTTGATGCCTTTACAAGACAATGTGCTAAGTATGAAGGTTCCTGTTGACTTTTTGTGGTTCATCATTTCCAAGACTCAGAGGATTAAATAAAAAGATGGACCCTGTATAAGAGAGAGAGAGAGTAGACGAGTACATGACAACAAGCAGATGAAAAATAAGGGCAAAAATGTTGTAATAATTTCTCTTTCTACAGCTTAGAGTAATGAACTTCATAATTTGGTATTTGCCTTTGGTACAACAGGAAAAGGTTTTCACATTTCTGTGCCCAGTTTCGGTGTGCAGAGATGTAAAGGTCATTTCAAGGCACCCACGTTGCCTGTCTTGTTACCCACTTTGTGCAAATACAGAACAGGTTCACACGTTCCTGTTTCCTTTTTGCCTAAATTTATATCTTGATCATAGCTCTGTCTGAAGGACATTTCCCCGTTAGATGTGCACATGGAAGCTCAGCTCTAATAAGCAGCTCTCACTTTGGGAGGATCCCCTGGTGAGATCAATGGGACTGGAACGTGCAGGGCAAGAGGAGTTAGCAGGGGTGAGCTTTGCTCTGTGGATTTCAGAGGGCATCTCTGTCCTAGGGATGAATTATTTATCTGTGTATTTATTTATTTTGAAGTGTAAGCCCTACCTTTGCATGCTGCTTCTAGATGTGATGCTAGTGCTTGGTGTAAGGCTCTTTTATCCTTTGGATGTGAAAGAATGCCAAGCAGGAAGGGATGGCTTAAATGGCAGGAAAAAATGTATAGAATCCCAGAATGGTTTGGGTTGGAAGGGACCATAAAGATCATTTTATTCCACCCCAGCCATGGCAGGGCCAGCTCCCAGTGTCCCAGGTGCTCCCAGCCCCAATGTCCAAGCTGGCCTTGGGCACTGCCAGGGATCCAGGGGCAGCCCCAGCTGCTCTGGGCACCCTGTGCCAGGGCCTGCCCACCCTGCCAGGGAACAATTCCTGCCCAAGATCCCATCCAGCCCTGCCCTCTGCCACTGGCAGCCATTCCCTGCCTCCTGGCCCTGTAGCCCTTGGCAATTGTCTCTGTCCAGCTTTGCTGCAGCTCCTTCAGGCCCTGCAAGGCCACCCTGAGCTCAGCCCAAAGCTTCTCCTGTGCAGGTGAACAATGGCAGCTGTGGCAGCCTTTCCTGCCAGCAGAGCTGCTCCATCCCTCTGCTCATCCTGGAGCCTCCTCTGGGCTCTCTGCAGCAGCTCCAGCTCCTTGCTGGGCTGGGCCCAGGCTGGGGCAGCTCTGCAGGTGGGGTCTCAATAGAATTGCAAAGTCTCTTTTAACCAGATATTGAGGAATTTTGAAATCCTCTCCAGAGATCACAAAGGACAGTGGTTTTGTACTCATTATTAGTGCAAAAACATCACTGCAAACCCCATTCTCTACAGTAATTTTATATAGGTTGGAAACTTAATGGAATCTGTATGGATTTATTGTTTATGGGATTTCAGGTGCTACTACCTGCTTATATGATATGCTGTAAATTTCTTAATTAGCTAACAGGTGATAATTAAAGAGAAGACTCTTACTTGCTGCACTAAAGTTGTGCTGGTACACCTTGCTGTACAGTTGGATTAATGGGAATTCTGTGCTAACAACATAAATGGGACTGAAGAAAGAACACTTTTGAATGGCCCAGACATCATTAATCTTACTAATTAGTAGCTGATGTCAAGTATGTCTTTAAAAAATATATAAAAATGTGCTTTCTTGGGAGTTGGACCTGTATTTAGTACTGGACAAATGCTTCAACTAATTTTCGTTTTGAGTTGTTTTTCCTCTTCTCTTCTCTTTATATTATTTTGTTCTTTCAATCTAAATATTTTAACTTTCTTTCTCAAGGCTGTATGAGGTCCACAGGAGGAAGTCTATAGCTTTCATCTTGATTTATGGAGCCAATGATAAAAGTTTAGTCTCACAGCTTGTCGCCCATTTCTCTGCTAGATTGCTGCCTACAGCATATGTTCAAAGACAGGTTGCCCATAGTTGAATGTAGTTTTATTTCAGTAAACATAGCCTACAGTGGAAACATATTGAATTTAGGCTAAACTTGCAGAGGGATTGAAAGGAAAACACTGTGTGTGGTGTTGGGTTGCAATTAAGCCTGTTCTAACTTTGAGGAGCCTGTGTGGCTGTGCTGGAGGGGCAGAGAGGATGGGATGGGCTGCACCCTGCTCTGGGGGTCTGCAGCAGCCACGGTTTGGGGCTCAGGGGGTGCAGAAACAAGATATTGTTATGGCTCTGGTGTGAATGCATCTTCTTGTGAATCAATTTTCTGTGTCTCAGGAAGCTGTCTCTTCTGGATATCACAAAGAATTATTTCTGTGCAAGGTTTTCATGCTGGAGAGGAGAAACAGTTGAATAAGAGGAGAGTTATTCATCCCCAGGTGAGGAAGAGGACTGCTCCTTCATGCTCCCTCAGAAAGGCAGGAAACAATATAATGGAATCATCACTTGGAAACACCCTTCACTGTTATACAGATTCTTAAATATCTTTATATATTAACCCCCCATTTTTTATATATAACAATTATGCACACACATATGTACACATTTTTTTAATATACGGACTATACATGCTGGCATGTTAATTAACAGCCAAGGAACTTGTTACTTTTATTGACCAGTCTTCAACATTAATTAATTTAATATTAATTTAACAATAAAATCCATACAGTTAAATGTTAGTGATTGCTTACTGTAGGAGGGTGTTCTCAGTTTTACCCAAAGAAGATGTGTGCTTATTTTTTTCTTGGAATAAGAATTCCATGTTAATAAAATACAGCATCATCTCACCAAACAAGGACATGTTTAAGCAAACCAATAGATCTGCTTTAGGATCACTTCCTTCCTGGTGTTCTCTGAATTTATTATCTGGAGTTACTACAGCAGAAAGGTGATTCTTTGTGCAGGCCTGTCCATGGGTAGGAGCCCACTCCTCTCAAAACTATTGCACTGCAGAAATACAAAATTACAGAACTCTTTCAGTGTTAAATATTGGCAATGAAGGGACACTTTTTGGGGTTTTTTCTGTTGCTGAGTTCAGGCTGCACAAAGCTCAGACAAAGGTGTTTCTGTCATTAAGGATGCAAGAATCTACCCTGATTTAACAGACAAACAGATTGGTGCAAACAGATTGGCACCAAAAGAGAAGTAATATTCATCTTAAATGCCTCAGCTTGAAGGGACATTTTTGTTTCTCAAGCTAATTGAAGCAGACTAAAGTGCAGGATGCTCCCAGAAGAACGAGGGATGGTGGAGCACCGAGATCCTCATCCATAACCTGCCTGTCACACACCCCTGGTCCAGACCAGCTTGGCTGCTCTGGGAAACTTCAGATTAATGGATCCCTTCTGCTGCCAGACTCGCTGGAGTGGCAGATTAAGATTCTATTTTTGGTGCCTAATTTCTAAATTAGCAGTTTCCATCAGCCTGTGTTTACTGCTGTCACCCAGGAACACGCTGGGCTGTGCAGGAGCTCGCTGAGTGATGTGTAATTAGAAAGAGCCAGGGCTGTGCCCTTGCACTTGCAAAATGAGATGGTGGCAGTTCTTCTCCCTGAATATCCCAATGAGGGTTTATGGGGGTATATTTATTTGGCACATTCTTTAATAATGAGGTTCTGAAAGGGTTTTTCCTGTCATTGATATATTGCTCAAAATTAAAAAATTTTTTTTTTTTTCATTAGTTTCATACTTTTGTTTTCCTGAGTCTTTTGTGCCTTTCAAGTTGCTGTTAAATGAGTAGGCTTGCTTCAGATATTGTAATTTAAATACAGTTTTGCTTACTAAAACATAGAAAAAAATAGCTGTCTCAGCCCATATGAAAAAATATTTCAGTTCTCATAAGGATAAAATATATCTGACTGGAGGTTCAAGAACAGTAGTGAAAGTCCAGGAAAAGTTCCAACATCTGCATCAAAGTGGAGTGAATGATGTAAATTTGCTTCCTGAAGTTATGTCCACTGTGGATATACATTCTCAGCTCTCGAGGGAGTGAGCTTGGATTGACTCCCCATTCCTAAAATTAGCCTTTCTGCAGATAAATTGAAAACAAGACACCAAACTTTTTTCATGCTAAGATTTTTAGGAAAAGTCTCATCTCACCCAGGAAGTAACCATCATAGGGAGTGAAAGGTGAAAATGGGCCTCCAAAACTTACAAATAGTTGAATTTTGTCAGTGAGGAGGGGTTTCTGAGAAGAAACTGTTTGTAGAAAGCAGGATATGCTGGATATGGAGGGAGAAGTCATGACTGGCCAAGATCAGGAGACTTTTATTCACTTTTTTTATGTAGTAACTTAATGGAAAAGAGTACTTGACACAGCACACAGCCAAGATTCACAGCTTGTCGATGGGTAGTGGTAACTCATTTTCAGGTTTAGAAGGGAAAGCATTAAAAAGTATCAGGTGCCAGCACCCAGTGTTTTTCATGTGTCTCCTGGTTGTGCTAATTAATCCCAGTTAACCCAAACCAGATCAGGTGCCACTTAATATAAGGCTGAATCAGAGAGGTTTGGAGGAGGTTATGGGTATCAGAGATGCTGAGGTTAGTGAGGGTTCATGAATTTCATATAATTATATAAATTTGAAAACATTTAAATTTATCTTCCTAGAGGAATCTTAATATCAAGGTACTCATTTGATTTACACTTTTCCTATGCCACCTCTGTCTGTGCCATGAAGGATCATTTCTGTTTCTTAAATATGTATATAAAGTAGTTAAGCTTTTTAGCAACCTTCTGTGTGTTAAAATATTAATTACATGTGAAACTATTATCACAGATGAGACAGAATTATTTTTAACTTCAACATCTTTTATTTCTTATTCTGCTTTTTATGCTTACCAGGAAGGACATTCAGCATAAGCAGGTGACTTTATTCAGATTTCAGGTTTTTTAAAGAAGGATCTTCCCATCTTGTAAAGGATTCTTACTCAGTTCTTTAGCTATGTTTGCTGAACTGCTCAGGAAGTCTTTGATTTCCTGACACTTTATGTTGCTGCAGTATGTTTGCCAAAATATTCTTAGTCAGAGAGGTTGCAAAGCTTTTTTCTGTTTGGCTCTTGAAGCTGTGTGGCACAGAGATGCCTACAGTGAGAAAAGGGAATAAAGAAATTGGTGTAAATGTAATCACTCTCAGTTATCTGGTACAACCACTTGAAAGCATTTTTCACCAAGCAGTGGCAGGGCAGTGGTTCATTCTGAGTAAACTGATAAACATTAGGTTTTGATTAAAGCATGAAGATTCTGTACTATGGAGTTCTTTAAACTGAGCTCGAGCTGATGAAGGTGAATTATCTCACACTGGGGTGGCTCCCAGGGCCCTGTGGAGGAGAGTTATGCCAACGTGTGTTTGGCACTGTCTGTGGGACTCTTTCAGTGCATTATTATCTCCAGATATATCTGCAAGCAATATTTTAGTCCTGGAAATGCTGACACATCCAGGTTGTATTTTCCTTTCCTCTGGTACAAACTTCTTACCTGTAACTTCCAGAATTATAGACACAGAAGAGCACCAGAATAAATCACAGTGATTTCATTCCACTCCTATAAATTGTTGCCTAAATTGTCAACACCTCTTCACTCTTAGTGTTAAGTAAACTGGCTTTTATAAAATATGAGCCACTCAATCATTTATCTTAAGCCCCAATCTCGCTTCTTGTTGTTTTAAAGGCAAGATATAACAGTAAGTGAAGGCAGGAATTGCTTCCCTGAGGAAATTTTACTATGATCAAAGTAACCTGGCTGTTTAGGAGTGAAAGCAATGCCTGGCTTAATGAAATCCAGAAGAAACTAGATAAATAGATGAAATGGAGGATTCCAAACAAATTGTATAGTAGATCTGGAGAGGGAATGCAAATTACTGAGCCTTCAGGTTGAATGTGGAGGGGACAATAGTGTGAGTAAAGGAGCTTTTAAAATAAAATATATTTTGTTGAAGGAGGGGAAGACAACTGTAGAGGTGGCTTTGGGATAGCTGGACACTTGACTATGTTAAATTGCTTTTGTGGTGATTTGGGTGAAGTGTGATGAGAGAAGAGACTAAATCAAATTTTGGGTGAAGTGTGATGAGAGAAGAGACTAAATCAAATGAGAAGGGAGGAGCAGAGTTATATAGAGTCTTAAAGGTGGGATCAGGAAGATTAAACTGCAGTTTAAAATCTAACTTTTCACAGAAAATGAATTTTTAAAAAAAATCTATAATTCTTAATAAATAGAAGATTACTATGCAAGCAATAGAGCCTGGTTTAAATGTTATTCTCCTATCTTCAGGTCTGGCACTGGAATAAACATGAAGTGGGCAGACTAAAGTGTCTGCTAGTTCCAAATACAACTTGTATTGTTAAAATGACTCCAGTTCTAGTTTAGAAGCTGTGGGTGGACCGTTTGTAAGGGTTGTTTAAGCATAATTGCACTGTTTGATTTGTGCAAAACTCATCAGTAAAGTGTTTCAAAATATAGGGATGACTCCTCTTATTTATCATCCAGTCTGTGAGGACAGAAATCAGTGTTTTCATTGCTGGAAGTCTAATTATTTTCTTTGCTCCTCCTCTCTAGAAAGTATTGCTTGCCATGTGGAGAGCCAGAGAAAGGTGAGAAAGATATTTTCTTAATTCCTGTCTATGCAACCATATGTGTGTGTGTGGGAGAAGCACAGCTTTCCTCACAATGCTCCTTGCAAAGGGGTTGGAAACAATATGTCACTAATCAGAACCTCTTGCAGGTAAGCACTGGGGTATTCCAGGCTGTGACATGAATGCAGATGTAGCTGAATATTTGCCAAATTGCTCTGCACATATTCAGCCAAGGCCAGGAACAGTGATGGGTTTACCTGTCTTATATAACCTTCAATTTAATCTTAGAATCTGTGCCCCACAAACCTAGGTGGGAAACCACTCTGTTTTGAATACACCTCAAGCACTGTGGCAAGATTTTTTTTGACAGAAAAAAAATAAATAAATCAAGTCTTAGGTTAGCTTAAAAGTCTCCTTTTTCTTCCTCTCAGTCTTCTTCAGAGGAAGAGGAGAGCAGGTTTCAGATCTGACACTGACATCTGTGTAGCACTAACTCTTTTGACTGATGTGATGGCCAGTAAAACAGGCATGCTGTTGAAATTGTGTTCATCTTTTAAGCCTAAATTGTTTAATCCTCGTGTGATGGTACCAAGACAAACACTGTCTGCTTATTTTTTTCTAGATCTCCATCTCTGCCTGTATCCATCTGTTGTATTTTCTCCTCAGACAGATGCCCAAATTAATATCAGGGAAGACAATATAATAGAGTTAAGGTCAAATGCCATTTCTGCTCTATGGTAGCTGTGTAACAATATATAGCAAAGGATCTTTTATAAAATTACATCATTTTTCTGCTACATTATTCTCTGGAAACGCTCAGCTTCTAAACATCTACATTTCGGGCCACAATTCATAGAGCACTTCATTAGGAAACCACTGGAAAGTTGGAGAGGCTCCTAATTTAAATCAATTCCAAGGAAATCTCTCAGTGGCATTTTCAGTGTCCATCTGCAACTTTGCATTCTGTGAGAGGAAGAGCATTTCTGTTTTACTCAATCCAGCTACTCCTCAGACTTAATCTGGTCCTCAAAATTCACTAAGTAAAGCTGGGCCTTAGGAAGGGCTAATTCTGTGAAGCACAGACAGGAAAGCTGCAGTATGGCTGTGAGCAGTTAATTGAGATCATTACCAATAAACTGTTTTGTGGTATCAATTAGAAATGTAAATATATTTATGCCTAGTGAATGTAAACTATTAAGTATTGTTCTTTAACCTTAGGTACCCTCCCTCTGTCACCCAGTGGTTCTGCCAGTGCAGTGTGTTTATTTCATTTTTGTGATAATATTTTGGTTTGGTTGGAGCAGGTTGGTAAACAACTGAGCTGTGATAATTATTTCAGTAGTTTGTTTGGTTTTATTTCCTCTTTGGGATAGGCTGTGTAACTGTGTTTTTATTGCCTGTTCCTCAGGCAAATGTTTTGGAATTGGAGATAATATCTTCTACACAACTTTCAATGAAGTTTTTGTATATTTAATTCCTCACATTTCTATATTTTTTTCTCTCTACGGTTTCTTCTTTCCACTCCTTCACATTTTTGTTAAAAGAAATTATTTACAATTGCTCTTTATTATTAAGAGAAAATATGTGCCATTAAAATACATCATTTAGGACATGTTTCTGTTCTCAGAAACCTTAAGCCCTTTCTCAGCCCCCTTCCTGTCCCAAATGTGTGCTACACTTTGATTAAGGCACAACTCAGTTATGTTGAATTCTCTGGGGTATTTTTAGTCTTAGAGGTCACCTCAGTCAGTATTGTCTGAGGGGAGAGTCAGTTTATTCAAAATGCATTCTTTCTGCTTTTGGCTAATTCTGGGAAAGGTTTTCACTCAAACAGGGAACGTGACCTAAAAGGAATAAAAACAAATGCTCAGTTTTATCATCTTTGGTTCTTTGTTGAGATGGACTCAGCTCTGCCACAGCTGGCACAAGGGCCAGTGGATTTGTCCCCATTTTGTGTTTTGTTGAGGGAGCAAATGCAAACCAGGATTTTTCTGGACCAATTCTTGATGTTGCCATTTCTCTAAGTGCAGTTTGGAACGTGGTGAAAGGAAAACAGGTTATATTCTATTCTTGCTTGTTCTACTTTTGATAATTGTTACTCCAAATTTTAGCACATTCCTTTGTCATCCCACATACGTATGGCAGTGATGAGAGACACTTCCTCCAGTGCTAGTCTGTTCTTTTAACAATCCACATGAGTGACACAGATTAATAAAATGTGACATTTCAGGATCCAGAGTAAAATATGAAATAAAAAATGACTGTTTGAGGAAAAATTAGTCATATGCAGAGGGACCTATTAAAGTTGCCTCACATATCAAGCCTTTGTTCTGAGCATGTGTGACTGGAAGTGCAAAGCTAGGCTGTCAGGATTTGTTTAGTTAATGATTCCAACTTGTTAAAATTTTAACCATGGCTCCTTTTGTTGAGCTTCAAAGGATTCGTAATGCTCTTTATATTAATTTATCTTATATTCTTGAAAGTATAACACACTTTGGTTATTATTTGGGTATTGATTTGGCTGCTTGGCATGTACTGTTTATGGGCAATTTTGATTTTGAATAGGGGGTTCAGTGTAAAAAAAGAATCTGCATAAAATTCATAGCTCATATAAAAGTGCTTTTTTGTTATCCACCAAGACATGAGATACAAATCAAGTGTGAGAAGAGCTTGAAGCTAGACTGTAAGATGTGCATGCTAAAACCTATCACAATTCATACTTGTCAGAGAAATGCACATTTAAAATCCTTGGTCATGTATAATAATAGACCGAAACACAAATAGGATGCTCGAGCATCAAACTTTAAGAACACTTTTGTTTTGAAGAGAAGAGAGGAACTTGAAAGGAGTCATAAAAGTGCAATGTGGGAAGGAGCTCATACTGAGTTTTCAGCATGGCACTACCAGGCCTGTTATCTTTATCTGTCTCTGTGTGGTGAGCAATAATAGGAAAGGATTTCACTTTCTGTGTTAAGCTGCTGGGTAACCATCTGGTTACAGAAATGCATAACGTTTTTGGATTATGTTTGGCACAGTCCTGTTCTCCCATCAGTCCCTGCCCACACTACAGACATTTTGCTCCCTGAGCTGGTTCCAGAGCCCAGCAGAATGAGTGGAGATGATGCTGTGGGTTTCAGTAGTTAATTTGCATAATTAATTTTTCTTACACAAACATTCAAAGCACAGAACCTGCTTCTGCAGAGGGAGGTGGGCTCCAAATTCTGGGGTCAAGAGAGATGTTTTCAAATAGATACATCCAAATGTAGTTTGCCTGTGCATATCCCCATGGTCATCAGAAAGAAAAGGCCTCTTGAAGCATCTCTGGCTTTAGAAATGATGAAAAGATGGGTTCAAACTAAAACCAAGCACAGGGAACTGTTGTATAAGGTGGGTCTCTCAGTAAAGCAAAGAACTGAACTTTCTCTTCTCACCTGGAAAGGTCTGGCTGATCAAGGACACCTGCTTTCACAGGGTTATTTCTCCTTCATCTGTGTCTGGAGGGGTTGGTCTCTGGAAGACACCCACAAGGACAGATACAGCCTTACTCCAGTTAATAACTGCATTTTTATACCATGATGATTGGCTCACACAGATTCAGTTAGCGTTGACTGTATAGAAAAAATGTGGCTGTGAAAAAAATGTCTGTATAGAAAAAGTGTGTGAATTTGTGCAATCCAGTTGGTTTAAAAGGTGTGTGAATCCTAAAGCACACATGTATACATTCACTACATGCTTTGCAATTCCTTTCTAATATAATGAAGAAAGAAACTACAGAGACAATTACACTCTAAGCAATGCCAAGGACTTTGTGATATGTTTGGAAAATACTTTGTGCAGCAGAGTATGACACTGAGCATGTCCCAGTCCATGTATTATGTGCATCTTTAGAAATCCCATTTCTTTACCAGAGCCAAAGATAGGTTTGAGTGTCAGAGAGTGACCTTTTGGAGCAATCCTTCTGTCCTTTATGCAGTGACAAGTTTGTTCCTCTTCCCACGTGAAGCTTGGGCCTGTGCTCCCCTCTGCCCCTCCCAGCTGAGGGTTTGTCATGGCAGTGGCAAAGGAGCAGATGGAGGCAGCAGAAGCCCCAGGGTCAGAACCAGCCACATCAGCAGGCTAGAGGAAGGATGTTTCCTTGTTGATAAATATCGTGTAAAGTGTTGGATCTGCATGAAGACGTGTGTAGCTCCCTGTGCAAATCAAGGGGATTCCAAACCCTCTCTCTGCCCAGACTGGCAAAGCACACTCAGCTCTGTGGATGGCCTGAGATGCCCGTATGCTATGGAGTATTTTTGGATTTTTTTTGGATTAATATCATGCTTCAGTGCACCCATCTGTCTGTGTACTGGGTGCAAGTTTCAAAGGAAGATAAGTGATATACAACCAGCTAAAAATGCAGGCAAAAATTAGGACTTCAGCAAATTTGAGTAGATTTTGAAAAGTAGGGTGCTGCCAGATTGAAATACTCAACAGGTTCATGCAACTTTCCAAGTAAATGGAAGCCATTTCATAAATGCAATTAATACAGACCTGGGAGGCTGAATGAGTAATGCTTCTGGCCCTCCTTGTTCAAAGAGATCAGGAAAACACAAGAGAGAGGCAAAAGGCATTCTGGTGTCATAACAGCCTGGGATGTGAGATAACTGCAGTGATTTCCCAGCGACTACACAAATGATTTCAAAGTGCTTTGGCAGGTCTGCAGTTTGCAGAGCAAAAGCTATGTCTGTATTTTCCCACCGACACATTTTAACCTACCCTGCAAGCTCTGCTTCAAAAGTCAAGTCCCCAGCTCTCTGAAAGCTGTGTCTTCAAATCCATTTGGAGCAGTGCATTCACTGCCTGTGTCGGGCTTGGCAATGCAAGCTATTACCCTAGAAGTTACTGAGTGAAATCAAAAAGCAAAAAGCCTCTAAGAAACTTAACCCACCCATTTTAGCAGTCACTAAACCAGCTAACAAATAGAGATGGTTTAAATTGCTTCACAATGCCAGCTGCTTGCAGAATACTTGCCATCCTCT